AAAACAGCATTATCTCAGCTGCTTCGTTATAATGAACAATATTTCACAGTGCCAGCCCTGGAGTTACCTTCAGAACTTCTTTTATCAGGCGAGTGGCACAAGTCTAAGCTGGATTCGGCTCTCCCCACACCTTGTCTGCTTGAGTAGTAAAAAAAAAAAAAAAAAAAAAAACTATGTAACAGTGTGGTGTGTCCAGAGAAGAGTGAGGCACTTAAGATATTCATCAGGATGCAGCTAGAGGACAGTGGCTGCCACTTGACTGTGCAGGACCTTGTTTGCCACATGTAGAGTATAGATTTTATCTTGAGGTAGTAGGGAGACCACCAAGTGTGTGAGCAGGGCACTGCCATCATCAGAGTTACGTGGCAATCTTACAGGATTATGCAGGATGGAGGAAGGCAGGATGAGGAGAGACCAATGGCTTATGGATCACGAGTTGGCCAACCACTTCCAAAGCTGCTCCTCTTCCCTCATTCCCTCTTGCTCATGGATCCTCCCAGTTATTTCCCTTACTGGTCCCCATTAGAAAGATCACCCCATTATTCTCTGCTCCTTCCCTAGTGAGGATGTCAGAAATGCCCTGACTCTGCTCTGCTGCCTCACCCAGTTCTCTTCAGCTGAATCCACCCTTGAAAGCCATCTGGCATAAGGTATTATTTACCTCCATCCCTCCTCTCCTCTCCCTTTTTCATATATTACCAAATATTTGTGTGTTCCTTGGTGGCAGAAACTATATTTTATATTTACTTTTTCCTCTTCCATGCCTAAAGTAAGGGCTACATATTGATTGATCGACTGACTGATGGTCCAGAGAGGTTAAGTGACTTGTTTAGAAGTGCGTAGCTAAGCTGAAACAATCACCCACAAGTGCCAACCATAATCAAGTGTTCATGCTCCCTGAGGGTCTTTGTGTCCCAGAAATGCAGGTAGGGTCACCTGGTATTGATGTGCCCAGTGCAGATGGGGATTGATGGATAGATGACACCCCGGGTCCTAGAGCTCCTACTCACGGATACAGGTCTCCTGAATGGGAATGCCAGGTCGTCGGTTCCGGAAATAGTGCAGCTGACACCGCTCACAGTTCTTGCCCTCAGTGTGATCCCGGCAGTTGTCACACACACCACCATGTGCTCCCTGGCTGGCAGCAAACACAGCTGGGTCGAAGTGGCACATCTCTGAGTGCCCATTGCAGTCACACCCTAAAAAAAGAGAGTCCTAGGCCTGACGTTTGACCAGCACCATTGTCATCTACAAAACACTTTCATAGCAGCTCGCTGGCATCTCCAAGCAACTCTGCAAGTTACATACACAGAGCAGGGATTGGGAAACCAAGGCCAATGGAGGTGTGTGTAATTTTTTTAAGGTTGAAAAAATATAGTTGTGCAAAAATGACCAGAATTACTGGTTAGATAGAGACTGGTGGAATCCCTGATACTATGGCCCTGGGTTATCCTTCAGGCCTGGAAACCAACTTACTTCTGTGGATTGGCTCTCAGCCCAACAGAAGAAAGACCTACAAGCGGAACATCTATCCCAGGGAGATGCACCCCTTAGATCAATCAGCCATGAGACATCAGAGGGGCAGCATTCACATACAGGGAAAGCTGGACAGACAGGAATGCATAATTAAGAAGGGCGCAGGGAGGAGACAGTCACAGGGAAGAGAGGGGAGGAGTGTTTTTCATGGTTGGGCATTGTAACTGGGGCCATGAAATCAAATGTGCATGAGCTATTGAGAGTAAAAGGAATCTGCTTCGTAAGTTTGTACCCAGATTACAATAATAATAATAATAAAATAGTTATGTCAAGTTGACACCAACTAATGTCAACCCCATGTGTGTTAGAGTGGAATTGTTCCACATAGGGTTTTCAACGGTTGATTTTGTAGGCCTCTCTTTCAAGGTGCCTCTGTGTGGACTCGAACCTCCACCCTTCCAGTAAAAAAATTACACACACCTCCATTGGCACAGTCAACCATGCTAACCATTTGCATTATCCAGGGACTTCTATTTAAGGCCACATGACTGGTAAGAAGGCAGAATTATATTTAAATAATAAAACCTAGATTCTCCCTGTGTCCCAAATGAGGTCATCAAGGCCCAGAAGGGCCAACATCTGACCCAGGCCACCACAGGAGACAAGGTGATCCTAGACTCGTACTTTGGCATTCATGGGGATCCTGATCATCTGCAGGTCTCCAGGGCCGGTTGTTGTAGAAGGGTGCACAGCGGTCACAATTGGGGCCAGCAGTGTTGTGCTGGCAGACGCAGACATCATGGACCTAGGAGAAGGGGTCCTCAATCATCAGTAATGAGAAAGGAAGAGAAGTCCCAGGGATGGAGTTTGCCTCTCCCTTCTGACTCTCCAGTCAGGGCTCAACTGAATCCCTAACTTGACAGGATGCTTTACCTGAACACCCCAACCTTCTCTCAGCTCCTGTGACACTGCTTGTCTGTCTTCGTGTGTGTGTGTGTGTGTATGTGTGTGTGTGAGAGAGAGAGAGACTTCTTTGTTCCTCTAGCTAGATTTTCTTTTTAATGTTGTGCTACCGCCCCTCTTATTGTATATGGCCTTCCCTTCATCCTACTAAGTACAGGTCTGCTCTAGTTAGTGACTTCCCCTCCCTTCCCTGGTAACCATCAAAAATTATTTCTTTCTGTGTGTACAGCTTTTCTTGACTTTTTATAACAGTGATCTCATACACTAATTATCCTTTTGTGATTGATAATTATTTCACTCAGCTTAACATCCTCCATCTTCCAGTTTCATTTATCCATGCTGTGAGGTGTTTTGCAGATTCGTCATTCTGCAAAAACTACCCAAAATCAAAGAATAATGAAGAATCCTCTGGCTAGATTTTTAAAGTTTGTTCCTTGCACTTGGACACCGTCATGCTTCCCAGCATAGCAGGTGCTCAGACAACCTTGTTGGTAAACTGTGTGATTCTACAAGCTTGTAGGTCCTCGGAGATTTATATTCCAACAATCTTTGAGTGCAGTTGTTTGGTTAATGAGACTGTTACAACGTATTACTACTAGATTTATTAAGGCATAAAAATAGCAGAGCCATTGTGTGGTAATTGCCTTCCATATTAAGCCCATCACCCTGGGCCTGATATTCAAGAATGTGTTTGTTCCCATTCTCCTCTCCCACTCCCTCTTAAACATACAACCAAACTTCTAGCTACTTCTGGTACAAACCCTGCTTTTTCCCACCTTTTGGCCTTTGTTGGTGTTTTTCCTTCTGCCTGAAATTCCCTTCTCTCCATGCTCACCAGCACAATCCTGACCATTAAGCTCCAGTTTAGGATGGCACCTCCTTCATCAAACTTGCCCTGGTCCCTCTAGTTCCACAGACTGAAACCCAGGCTTCTCTTCAGAATCACCTGAGGAGCTTTTACAAGGTACCAATGTAGGCCCACATCAAACCAATCCAATACCACTCAGATCAAACCAATCCAGTACCACTCAGGAGGGGGAGAGGCACAGGCCCATCACATATATATATATATATATTTGGCTGACAACAGATTTTTTTTCAGAGCAGTTTTAGGATTACAGAACAATTGTGCTGAAGGTACAGAATTTCCCCTTTCACCTTCCATACACTATTTCTCCTACTATGAGCATCTCACGTTCCTGTGCTTACATTTGTTACAATTGATGAACCAATACTGACATGTTGTTATTAATTAAACCCCACAGTTTACATAGAGGCTCACTCTTTGTGTTGGACAGTACTATGGGTTTTGACAAGTGCATAATGTCATGTGTCCAAAATTACTATATTGCATAGAATAGTTTCACCAAAAAAAAAAAAAATTGCAGTCAAGTTGATTCTGACTCATAGCAACACTATAAGTAGGACAGAACTTCTCCTGTAGAGTTTTCAAGGCAGTGATTTTTACAGAAGCAGAATGCCACATCTTTTCCCCATGGAGCAGCTGGTGGGTTCAAACTGCTGACTTTTAGTGAGCAACAAAGAACTTAACCACTGCATCACCCTGGGCTCCACCTATTCATCCCTCTACTCTTCCCCTGAACCCCTGGCAACCACTGGCCTTTTGCTGCCTATAACGTTGCCTTTTCCAGAATGTCATACAGTTGGGAACCCACCATGTGTTTAAGTGACAGTTCTGTTGTGCAGCCAGATTTGAGAACCACGGGGCAGAGTGTGTTCTCACTGTCCCCTGAATCCCACAGCACTCTGCATTCCTCAGATCTCAGCCATCCTACTGTGCTGTAGTTTGTTTGTTTATGGGCCCTAATGACCTCCCAGTCCCTGAGCTAGACTCACACTGGACTCCCCTGTCATCTGGGCAGCAGCTGGCCCGGAAGTAAAAAGAATACAGCGACTGCATGCTCATTTCACTTACATTTTCTTCCCAGGCCACTTTACAGGATTTCCTCTTGTCCCTCTAACGAAAGGGCAAATATCTTGGCTCCTTTATGTTGACAGAAAAGTTTCTGAGTGGTAAAGATGTTTAATGCACTCAGCTGCTAACCAAAAGTTTGGAAGTTCGAGTACACCCAGAGGCACCTCAGAAGAAAGGCCTGGTGATCTGTTTCCAAAAATCAGCCATTGAAAATCTTGTGGAGCACAGTTCCACTCTGACACACATTGGGTCAGCATGAGTCAGTGTCAACTCAACAGCAACTGGTTGTTTTTGTTTGTTTGTTTGTTTTTTAATGTTGTCAGAGGAACTGAAAGCCCAGAAAAGTAAATGACAGAGCTCTCTGTTTCTTCACCAAGATTCTCACACCTCTACCAGTGGTTCTTAAGTTTGATCTCACAGCAAAATCTCATTAAACTGGAGATTTTTAGATCGCTATCCCTGATGAATCTGATTCTGCTGGTCTGGGAGTTGACGTAGCATCTATACCAAACTGTGTGTGTTCTCTCACTCTGTCCTGTATCTTAGCACTCAATAAAGACTCCTTAAATCAGTGGCTCTCAATCCTGGTAGTGTGTTAGAATCACATGAGAGCTTTAGAAACCAATAATAGACCAAGTCGTCCTTCTTTAACCTGTGAATGGATAAACATACTATGGTATGTCTATAACATGGATGATTGATTAAATTGATTCAGTGATCTAAAAAAGACAGAAAGAAATAAGTGATTAACCATGAAAAGACATGGAGGAACCTTAATTGCATGTTGCTAAGTAGAAACCAGTTTGAAAAACCTACATACTGTATGTATATCCCAACTATATGGTATTCAGTAAAAAGATCAGTGGTTGCTGGGGTTCTGAAGAGGGGTGGAGGGTAGCCTAGGGCATTTTTAGAGCAGTGAAACTATTCTATATGATGCTGAAATGGTGCATACATGACATTAAGTATTTGTCAAAACCCACTGACATGTACAACACAAAGCATGAACCCTAATGTACACTGTGGACTTTAGTTAACAATAATATATCAATATCAGTTCATGACTTGTAACAAATGTACCATGGGAATGCAAGATGTTAATCATAAGAGGAATTGTGTATAGGAGAAGACAGTGGATGGAAACTCTGTGCTTTCTGCACAGTTTCTCTATATAAGCCAAAGCTGTTCAAAGAATAGTCTTTTTAAAAACAATAAAAAACAGTATGATTCTACATAATGTCTGTGGGTAGGGATCTAGGCATATATTTTTATATATATATATGTAGCCAGAATTGAGAAGCCTTGTCTTAAGCTCTTCCAATATCTACATACCCACACATTTATTTATATGTACCTGAAAATAAAAATTATCCCAAACCGTAGGTCTAAGGAAGTACTACAAAATTCTGATTTTTGAAATGATGATGACTCAGAAGATTTTTTTTTTTTTTTTTTTTTTTGCTGTTGAAACATTAAATATTTGAGGATATCTTTGGCCTGCCTTGCCCATGTCCCCCACTCCCTGCCCTTCCTACTAAGAGTCACCTGGACAGCAGTGGAGGGGTCAGCAGGGGCTCCAGGTGTGGGCGCGCAGCGGTCAGCGTGGCCATTACAGAAGCAGCTCCCCTGCACACGCAGCTGGGACACTGCATAGTAGGCACTGGGCGGGTGGTAGCCCCTCTGGGGCACAGGGCCCAGCTTGGTGAAGTTGACTCTCAAGTTTGTGATGTCCCCTAGCTCTGAAAGGCAGCAAAAAGTAATGAGGGAGAAGGTTGGGGATGGGAAAACAAAGAAAGAAATTTAGAGGTAGACAGAGTTTCCTCCGGCAGGACAGATGAAAAACAACAACAAAAAAATACCTGATCCCACCATCCCTTCCCTCCTTGCTCCACAAGGCTATATCAGGGACCAGCCCTCAACTCTGCCAGTGTCCTAAGGGGAAGAAACTCTCTCAACTCAGGTTTTTTGAATCTCAGTCTACCACAATACCCCCATGAGGTAGGCAGGGAAAATATTAAATCCCCAACCATGTTGGTGGAAATATGGAAGACCTAGAAATGTCCATGACTTAGGTCCCAGCTCTATTTCATCCCCCATGCCTGTACTCAGTCCCATAGGCTTAAAGAGTGGCCACACTCACCTTGAATCTTTTGACCTTGGGTTGTTGGAATCCCAGAGGCTAAATCCATGATGTTAAGTTGGACCTGTAGAGAGAAAGGAAAGGGAAGAACTGAAGTTAACAAAGCACATCTCAAAAGAAGTCCTTTCCACTCTGGCCCCTAACCTTGCCATCTTACTTAGTGGCCCTTCTTCCCTGGAATCTGAGATAGACCATGGATATGAGGTCACCCAACTGTCCTGAAGGAAGGAGATAATCACTAGGCCCTAAAGGAGTCTGAGTTTATATGTATGCAACATCCTTTCTCCAATTAAAAATACAGATATCCCAAGAATTCTGATTTCATTGGGTCAAAAGTAATGATAAAATGTATAATCCACACAAAAGGACTTGGCTATTGGTGAATTAAACCTGAAATGTTCAACCTTGTGTTAAACTCCACTAAGGTAAAATCAGAGAATGTATTAAATTTGTGTGATTTACTCACTTGTATCTAACCATCCCAAAGTCCTCACACTGAAGTAAAGTTGATTTTACCCTCTCAACTACAGGGATGTGCCAATGAGCCCGAGGGGGAGAAGTTGTGGGAAGGGGTAGGGTTGAGTTATGCAGTGGACTCAAGACGTTTCTCGAGTGTCCCTACTGGGCATCAAAGTGATTATGGCCACTCTGGGAGTGGCCCAAGGAGTCATCATTAGAAAGTTCAGGGAAGACAGCAAGGCAAGCTGACTGAGGGCATTCTCATCTCTTCTCAGGCCAACTTCTGGGTTGGACAGTGAGTCACTGAGGACCACCACCTGTCAGAGTGGTGAGGCCAGACTTGCTAGGACTGGGAAAGAGGCTTGAGTGAGTGAAAGTCTGTGTGACTGTGTGAACAGTGAAACCTCTCCCCATGTCAACTCTCACAGGTTGGGCTCCTTGACCTACCTTCCCTCCATTTAGGCGTCCATTAGGCCTCTGGGGGAGGGACTGGCACTGAGCTTCCTGCCACCTCTGAGGCTGACCCTGGTGCACCCGGGGGAAGGTAGAGGTGCAGTCAGCAGCCAGGTACTGGTACACCTGCCAGGTCTTGCCAAAGTCTGAGGATCGCTCAATCAGCATTCCAGCAGGCAGGGGCCCCTGTGGAAACACAGGTAGGGTAGGAGCCCTGAGTGACTGAAGGAGGGGAAGATTTGGCATTGTGTCCCCTGGACCCAGGGTCACAAAAGAAGACTACTAAAGAAGCACTGATGACCCCTGAGACCTGCAGTGAGGAAGGTGAAAAGGGGCTGAAAGAGAGCCAGTGAGTGCAAGAGTATCCAGGCCTGCTTCCACCTGGCAAACCATAGGCCATGGAGGGTTTTCCCCAGAGGAAACAGAGAAGGTAATAGAAATGAAATCTTTATAGAAGATATGTTTGTTGCTCAGCCTGCCACAGAGACCTCCAACCCAGAAATTCTCCCATTTCCACAGGCAGACATTTTTCCTTCCTACTAGCTCTTGGTTTTGTCTACTTCCATAGTTTAGGCCACGGTCATCTTGAGGAGCCATTACTCCATTAACCTAGAACTAATATCCAGCCTCTGTGCTACTCCCTCCAAACTATTTTATCTACTTCACTGAAAAGACCTTCTTAGTGGATCATGGATCACATCACTCCCCTAAAATAGATCCTTCAGTCCATTTACATTGAGCTAAAGATAAAATGCAAGCTCCTTTGCATGGTGTTTTATCTCCCTACACACTCCCTCGGTGATTTCTCAGGACTTTCGATGGTTTCTTTACACCAACTAGTCTCAGCTTGCACTACTTCTTTGAACTGCAGGTTTAGAAACCCAACCTTCAAAATAGATCCAACTTCCCAAATCAGGCCTGTTGTTATCAATGAACTGTGTCTCCCAAAAAGATATACTGACGTGTGGTCCACTATAACTATACATATGATCTTACTTGAAAATATGGATGCTTTTTATGTTAATGAGGTCAACCAGTGTAAGGTGGATCCTGAATCTAATAACTTCTGAGTTACAAAAAGATCAGAATAGACATAAAAAAAACAAGCACAAGGGAAGACTCATATGAAGACAGACACACAGCAGATGGATCTGAAAGCCCAGGAATGCTAAGTATTACCACGGCTATGAGAAGGTGAAATAGACAAGAAAGAACTCCCCCCTAGAACATGCTCTGAATTTAGACTTCTAGCCTCCAGAACTTTAGGAAAATCAATTTCTGTTCTTTAAAACTACCCTTATGGTACTTTTTGTTACAGCAGCTTTGGAAAACAAAGACACCCATCTTTCGAGTTTCTGTGCCACCATACTGTCTAAGCCACACCACCTCCTCCCAGTTTCTCTAAGAGACTCCCACCCAGCTTCCCCTCATTCACTCTTATTTCAGTCACACCTGTCACCATACAGAAAGAGCATTCTTTTTAAAACATAAAATGAGCCACGTCACACCTCTGTCCAAAACCACCCAATGGGGGAGATCTGGCAAGATGGTGAACTAGGCAGAAAGACTGCACAGACCCTTTTCAACAAAGAAAAGGGAAAACAATTAACACAGACACAGA